GAGGTCATTTTAGGAGCCAAGATGTACCAGGAGAATGCAGCCTGTGAGGCGGCGTCACAGCGTACTTTAACATGATCAGTTCCCTAACACTAACCCCATCGATACAGTCTGCCAGTTCTTGCAAATGCTCAGCAGCATGTCTGAAAGAAAGTGGCAGCAGGCTTCACGTGCACCCATGTTAGCAAAGGGCTCCATTTCACTCCGGCAGCCAGCCAGCCTCGCTCCAATATCGCTAGCATCAGGAAGATTGCAAGTGGCAGGGGTCAGGAAAGAGGAGATAATAATAGCTCAGTCCCCGTCTAGTCCTGTGTCAGAGTCAATCACAGTGGCATGGAAATAAGAGCCTTGAAAACAAATTAGCCCTTTGCTGTCAAAACAGTCAGAGATGTTTAAAATCAAAGTGTCTCTCGCATTTGTAAACCTCTCAGCTGTGCTCAGCCTCTACTTGAAAGCTCATTCTCTTTTAGTTCCCACGAACGTCAGTCCACCCTGCCACTTCAGCTCTGCTCTGGAGAACCTGTTTTCTTATTCTGGACAAATGTCTTCTGGGAACAACCAAGAGTTACCTCGTCTTTGGGAAAACATATATATGGATTGGATTCCTTAAGTTTTTTTGGTTTTTCTTTTTTTTTTTTTGTTTGATGCTGGAGATTGAACTCAGGACCATGCAGGCACGATGTGATTCCCTACTTTGGAGAAGCTTTATACTGTATCCTCAAATTCAATGAGGCACATTACAATATTCAAAGCTTTGAGAAGTCCCGCAGTATTCCGGGTGGGTTATTTAATTCAGTATATCACAAATCCACAACGGGATACATTCAGTTGACCATCCAAAAGTCATTCCTAACTTCAATCTTCAAAGGATGTGGAAAAAATTTATTTCTCAACCTCACTTGCAGCTACAGATGGCCTTAGTTGCAGTTCTGGCTAAAGGGATGTGTGAGGAAATCTGCTGAGGGATTTCTGGAAAAGATATCGTTCTGATATATAGGAGGAAGGGCCAGGGACAGAAGGAGAAAGGCCTAACCTTGCTACCTGCTTTCCCTGTGGTTCAAATGCCTGGAACTGACACCTTGTGAGTATGAGAATCACAGAGCCATTGACCCAGAGCCTTGATGTCACCAGGTCACTGGAATAACGACACCTCCCACCTACCCTGAGACTTCCTGTAAGTAATGTTCATCAATTCCAGGACACGTTTTTCCATCTCTGAAACTGGGGTGATCCTACAATTGCTGCCACCCCCACCCCCCCATTGCTATCACTGTCCGCACACTCGGCTGTCGCTCCCCATGGCGTGACTGGACAGTGGAAGGCCCTGTGCGTGCAATTGCCAAACCACTTAAGAACCACTGGAGGAAAGAATGAGAGTCCCACTTGTCTAAAACACATTCTGCTAATGCCTTTTGGTGCAACCGAGAAAGTGGCAGCATCAGAACTGGCAGGATGGGTATCTGAAGCTTAAATGAAAGTCCCAGAAACAGCTCGCCATCAGCAGTGCATGGAAGGAACAGAGGATGATATGGCTGTAAATGGATAAGCTAAGATGGAAAGTGACTCTGAGGACTACTCTGTCAGTGAAGAATGAGATTAGGAGGACCCTAACGCATTTATTGAACTCTTATGTTTCTTTTGTGTGTGCCAAAGTCACACACACACACACACACACACACACACACACTATGACTAAGTCTTTTTAATGAGTAGTAAACACTCTAAGTGAAAATGCACTGTATCCTAATTTCATTGGCAATA